TGAGTATTAGATGTATGAGTGTGGACGAAGATGACAAACTTGACCTCTTGCTTGAGAAAATTCCTCAACTTCTTTGAAGACCTAGATAAGATCCATTTGCGCCGAAAGGGAGAAAAGTATAAACATCCTATGCATCACAGAATATTGTTAGAAGAATACGCAACATAACCAGGCTACTGCAACTAACCTTGCTATTTGCATACAATGTACCAGAACAGTGTCAAAGCTAATATAATTACCTTTTGAAATAAGGTTATATTTGAGTATCATTTGGACGCGAAACATTATACCAAGATGTTCTAAACGATTTTACACTGCATCTTTTATCTTCAGCGTAATGATCAACACAGAACCTAATGTCAACAGCAAGTGCTGTTATCAGTAAAATTCAGAATACATGTTTGTTGCCCACCTGTGTACCATACAATGTCATCTTCATTTTCAGTTCTTTGACAAAGTGGACTAGAAGCTATAAAACAAAAGTACAATGGTTTACAAAGAACCACTAGAGTTAGAAAATTTGAAAGTATAGAATGTTTTAAGAACAGAAAGAGCATCTAAGTACAGAATCACACACCAAGCCAGAAGCAGGGTAGATGGACACCAATATTCCTTGACTCGTAAGAGGTATAATAAAAGACACAGCAGAATATCATTCTATATCAGAAGCATCATTATCAGAAAGATGATAATTGCTTCCTTTCACTCGAATATATTCAATGTGCCGACCTTCATCTGAATCCAAAAGGCCACATGTGCAAAGCCTGTTCTCAAATAAACTCTCTATTTCCTCCAACTTTAATCCTTTAGTTTCTGGAAGGCACCCATAGACGAAAAACAACCCCAAGGTAGTTAGTCCAGAATACAAGAAGAATGCACCTGAAACACAAAGTGCAGATTATGAAGTAATTCAATACAAAATCGAAGATGAAAATTAATTTTACTGAACACAGGTTTACAATGAAGAGTCTATTCATCGATGTGCCTGTGCTACATTATTGTAAGCATTGAACATTTTACCCAATGAAACAAGATGTAGGCCTGAGTAAGTCAAATGCAATCAACACGTACAAGGCAATAAGAAAATTTTAAAATTAAGGTTGGGCGGGGGGGGGGGGGGGGGGGGGGGTCGGTTCTTACAGTTGATCTAACATTTTAAGTTACTTTTAAAGCATGAAAATTGACAATGCATGAACAAACAGAAATGGGCTGAATTTTTGTTCTGGGTTCTCAATCTACAATGACAAATGAAATACAGGCTGAGAACTCAAATGCTAATGGAAAGACTCCAAGAAGAAAATTGAGGAAGGAACTAATAAAGAGATCATCTTTGGGAACACCATCTAATTAAACACAGCATATGGACTCCACAGCTGACAGAGACAATTGGAACAGAAAGGTTTTGGGCTGGTGGCAGTAGCCATGGACAGTGGTGTGCACTACCAATGTAGATAGAAGAGAGGGTGCCTCAAGATCAAGGCATGCTCCTGAAGGCTAGAAAGTTTAAAAACTACCAGGTCACTCATGGATGGAAAAAATCCTTGCATTGGATGGCCTAAATCTGCAGCTGTGACCCTCTGGCATTTGTGGTTGCAGCTGGAAGAGGAGGAAGGGAGTCAGTGAGACACTGGCTCACAGTAAATTTTTCCAAGTTGCATTTTCATTGCGATGTGAAGGAAGTGCTTCTTAGAATCTCAGATTTTTTTTTTTTTTTTTTTTTTTTTAAAAAAACAGTGCAGGTGATCATTTGGCCCATTTTGTCAACCTCAGCTCCTTACATGAGCATCTCACTTCAGGCCATTCTCCTGCCTTCACCTTATAACTGTAAAATCTTTTTTTCAAATAATCATCAAATGCCCTTTTAAATGCCTTGAATAGCCTACCTGTACCATAACAAAAAACAAACTGGTGGAGAAACTCAGGAGGGAAGGAGGCAGAGTCCGGTGATTCTTCATCGGAACTCTACCATACTCAAGGAGTACATTCCAAATTCTAAACACTTGTATGAAAATGTTTCTTTTCATATCACTTTTGCTTCTTTAGAAAGATTACTTTGAATCTGTGTCCTCTCTTCCCAACCCTTCCATGAATGGCAACATTTTCATCTTTCTTACTATATCTAGAAATCTCATGATATCGAATGCTTATCAGATCTCCTCTCCGTTTTCTCTGCAAGGACTGTTAATCACCGGAACGTTCTACCCCAGAGAAAAGCAAAGGCTGGGCCATTAGTCAATGCATTTCTGTGAAATTCTCTTCCCAAATTGCACTGGAAGGTGGTTATTAAATATTTTTAAGGCTAAGATAGTTTCCTGACTGCCACAGATGTGAAATGGTATGAAGGGAAGGAAAAAAGAACACTCAAATCAGATCATCCATGATCTTATCAAATAGCCGAGTAAGGTTGAGGGGGCAGATGGCCTACCCCTGTTCCTAATTTATTTGCCCAGTATCAGGGTTGGGTTTTGAGGTGGAAAGGACCTTGCACTGGGAAGGGAAGAATCCAGTTTTTGTGGTGCAGACATGCATTAATGACAATGTCAGAATTAGGAAAGCAATTGTTATTAGACAGTATGCGCAGATAGGGGCTAAATTAAAAAGGAGAACCTCGAAGGTAACAGTCTCTAAATTCTCAGCCATGTGAAAACTGGCAGAGTGTGGGAGAAATGTGTTACATTTCCTGAAGCACTAGCATGAGTATGAAGTCAGAGCTGTGCTGTTGAAATGAACTTACATCTGAACCATGTTGGAACCAGTGTTCTGGTAAGTCATATAACCATGGTGATAAACTTAGCTTTAAACTAAACTATGGATATGAGAGATCACATGTGGGAAGATGTGTTAATTAAAAGGGAAAAGACAAGGCAAGAGAACAGAGTAACAATAGGGATAATCAAAATCAGAGTTTGCTAGGAAGTAACAGGGAATACAAACTTGAGTATGCCAACAGATTATGGGTAGATGTTACAAAAATAGTACAGGCCCTAACTGCAGGCTTTATCATTTATATTGCATTCATAGCTAAATGGATGACTGGTTTCGTCAAATAGAAATAAATATGTATGCTCTGACAGCCATTGCAGAGATGTGGCTGTAAAGTGACCGAAATTAGAACTTGAATATTCATAGCTACTTGACATTTCGGAAGGATGGAAAGCTAGAAAGAAGTGGTGCAGTAATTCTTTAATAAAGGATAGCTTTAGTACAACAGCAGGAGACGCTTTTAATTCTTACTGATGGTGAGTCCTTCTCGACAGAGTGTCGGTTTTACTTGTCCTGTCATTAGCAAGACATACACATCCAGGGGTATGCTACTGGAAAAGATCCTGACTGATAAAGACTGAAAGATAGCCTCAGGTAGCAACATCTTCCAGATAATGCTCCAAAAGCAGTGATTTCTTCAGATTCCTTTGCCAAGTAAAATTGACCATTATCGAGGAATGTTTGGCATCTTGGAGAAGAAAATCACAAATTCAAAGAAGCAGTAAAAAGATTGATTTTTCCACTGTGCTTTTTTTTTTTAAGAAAAGGAGAAAGCACAACATTTCTGACAGGAAATTCCGA